ACAATCATAACCTACATGTACCTCCAGCACACACACACCCATGGACGCGTACTCAACACACATGGAGGTACGTCGTCTTAAATGACCTTAGCTCTTGGTAGGACGTCGGACCCTATAAAACTAATCTAAACTAGATAAATGGGGTCTAGTATATCGATAAAGGCTCTTTTCAGTCTTTTATATGGAGGTCTGATGTAACAACCGTCTTTATGTATGGGTGGTCGGGTGGTGCAGTGGATAGCGCACTTGCCTTTCACCAAAGCGGCCGGGGTTCGATTCCCTGATCGAACGTGAAAAGGTTGGGGTCACCTGCCCGATCACGTGGGATTTCTACGGGTACTTTAGTTTCCTCCCACAATAAGATTTCCTCCCACAATAAGATCTTTTATATGGAGGTCTGATGTAACAACCGTCTTTATGTATGGGTGGTCGGGTGGTGCAGTGGATAGCGCACTTGCCTTTCACCAAAGCGGCCGGGGTTCGATTCCCTGATCGAACGTGAAAAGGTTGGGGTCACCTGCCCGATCACGTGGGATTTCTACGGGTACTTTAGTTTCCTCCCACAATAAGATTTCCTCCCACAATAAGATCTTTTATATGGAGGTCTGATGTAACAACCGTCTTTATGTATGGGTGGTCGGGTGGTGCAGTGGATAGCGCACTTGCCTTTCACCAAAGCGGCCGGGGTTNCCCCCCCCGCTAACATTCTGGCCAACAAGAGTGATTAATATAAGTTGAAATAACTTGTTTTATAATTGTAGTAAAATAAAAAATAGTTTATATTCATATATTATCTTTATTCTAATGTAACGACAAACATATATGGTGGGTTGAAGCAACTACAGTATACCAATACGGTTTCCATGGCCTGATATAACTCTTATAGTTATGTTAATACAACCATGAGCACCTGACGATAACAATAATGAAGGTTTATACATTGTTTTCTGTGCTGACAATTTAACTGTTTCATACATTATATTTACTCATTAGTGTCAGATTGTGATGACATACCATATACAATATGGGCTTTTAAAAAGATTAGTGATATAATGTAAACAATAAAGACAACTCAAGTCATTAAATCAATAACTAGCTGTTATGAAACAATAGGAATCGGGTTACTTCTAACTGCAATATTCTAATTTAAACAAATAACGTGCAGAAATCTAATGTCCAAAATTGTCTGACTAAACATGTCTATCATTTCATACTTACATAATCTGTTCCAGCCATTGTCCCACCTCCTTCAAAATCGTATTGATTGTATTTACTCTATGGTGCTTCAGTTTTCATGAAGGACGTATTTGCATTTCTTTATTAAAAAAATTGCGAGAATCCTCGATATCCAAGGGTTACGCTCACTTACGCTCTGCGCCGAGAGCGTAAGTGAGCGTAATCTCTGGATATCGAGGATTGAAACCAATCGGGAAAGTAATTCTAACCGAATACATGTGAATCTGTACGATGTATTGGGTCCGTACCAGTTACCATGCTGTGTCATAGTTTAGTATTGAGACGTAGTCACGCTCGAGTTATTGCGTTAATTAGTCCCTGGTTTTGGTTTATATTTTAGAATCGACATTGACCCAGCATGTTCTGTTTTAAAATATTGAATGTGATTTATAATAATTACTAGAAATACGGAAACAGGAAACACCGATTTAAACATTTTGTATGTCGATGCAGAATGCCAGACAATGTCAACATTTTACTGCTCCATAAAGGTTATTTCGTCTATTTAGGAATCATCATTCAATGGTACACATCCAGGTCGAAAGTGTCCCGACACTATAACAGTGTATTGATGGTGGTGGTGACCAATCCAACACTGAACATGCTAACTTGCCCAAAAACTTTAACCAAGTCCAAATAACCAGTTTTTGCCCCTAAAATATGACAGATGGTTCAGCACATTGCTTACACTCCATATAAATACTCCAACCTTATACTTGACAAAGGCTGATTTTAACATGACCAAAAATTCTCCCTGAAAATACAGACAAATTGAGCATATATACAGTTCCATTTTAATAGCAACTGCCGCGTGGCAATCGCTATTGACACCCAGATATTCACAAACGCCTACACACAATTACCATCGCCGTATGAAAATTCAGGAACCTCCTAACCGGCATACTGTTTCCTGTTTTTCTAGCTCGGGTGTCAATAGCCACTACTTTGATGAAAATAATCAAAATCCTTTTTTATTTGTTATTACAAAATATTTAAAATAAACACTAAGTATAAAAACGATTTATCATTGCATGCCTTATTTGGCCTTAGTGATAGTTATCTACCTCTTCTTGCAATGATCTTCGATACATTTTAACTATTTACGCATAGTAGGATGTTATATGAATTCTTTGAAAAGTATCTTGTTTTGTGTTAGCTTACATAAAGTATTTCAGTTAAGTAGTTTATGTCTGAAAAAACGCTTTGTATACACATTGTGTTATATGTGATTTAGTTAATACTGTAAAAATCGACATCAAATTAGTACACAAAATCCTTACATATCTTATTTATTGATTTAAACTTCATTGCAACCATTGGTCAAATAAAATAAGCAACAACAGTTTTTAGTTTTCAAAATAAAAACGATTGAGATTTTGTATACGGTTAAGGGGAGATAAATCGTTAATTTCTTATTGCTTTTTGCCAACACGAACTTCTATCGATCCATGATCAGGCATAAATATTAACACGCAGATGCGGAAATTTGGACACATGCAATTGAAACTAACCTCAGACGTATCTTCAGTAAAAAGAAAATACTAATAATAAATTGGTAAACACTTCCCCTTCCGAAACATCCATCCTCGATATCCAGGGGTTACGCTTACTTACGCTCTCTGCACCCCTGGAATATGTCATAGGAAAATTGTAGGCTCAGTGTGTGCCAACTTGTTGATGAGACAAGAAGACTAGTTCGATACTTTGATGTAATGCAAAACAAAAGAATCTCGCGGTCGCGTAATAGTAAAAATTGACAGGCTTTGAAGTCGGGTCGTGTCGCCCCTTTGTAATCTTCAGATCTAGAGGACAGGTATCAACATAGCGATTAGTCAGGTGTTTTTTTTACCTGATACCAATCAAACAGCTATCTAAGTGCCCTCAATTTTGCTATGACATATTCCAGGGTTGCAGAAAGCGTAATTGAGCTTAACCCCTGGATATCGAGGATGCGAAACACCATGCTGCAACTCAATATTTGATTTAGGCGTGTCAGGTATCCTTCGTTTCCTTTTTTAGATTTCCTCGGTTTCCGGCTGCTCTCATTCGATCTTCGTTCTGTTTATATGTCCTTTCTGTTCCCTGTTGCTGTCCTCTGTCATTCATTCTTATTTTTTCGGTGTTTGTTCTTTAACAGAACGTAACATCTTTACTATTTAGATGGATTTCTTTTGTTGTTTAAGGCACTTCAGACAAACTTTAGATAGAGGTTTTCCTTTTTTATAAACAATTTAGGATCTTTAGTATAAAGACATGTTCCTTAGATAGTAATATGACACCATAGGAAGTTTAAACGCTAAAGAGATATTTTTGTAATAGAATAACCTAGGATCATTATCACATTTTTTGGGATATTTGTGATAATACAAACCAAGTGTCGAACAAAGTGCTTTGATTGTATAACACACTGTTGGTCAGTTTCCCTGAATCCGTTCTCAAAGTCAGATTATGTGCTAAAACCTAATTTTTGTTCCATTAATCTTTTTATAAAAACCATCACACATTGTCAATGCGTTGGAAGTTTTTGGGGAGACTAAAGGGTCCTTATCCTGTGGCATTGTGTGTTTTTACCTTGACACAGTAGCCTCCCCTTTACTTCCATTGGGATATAACATTAGCACAGTTTGTGCCTAAATCCTTCCGTTCACTCGGTAGCTCAACCGGTAAGAGCTCTTGCATATATTATATAAACTTTATTAATTTTACAACAATTATGAAACAAGATATTTCAACTTATTTAAATCACTCTTGTTGGCCCGGGTGTTATCGCGTGAGGTTTTTAATATGGGAGGAAACCGGAGTAGCCAGAGAAAACCTACGTGATCGGGCAGCTGATCCCATACCTTTTCACGTCCGATCGGGGAATCGAACCCCGGCCGCCTTGGTGAAAGGCAAGTGCGCTATCCACGGTGCCACCCGACCACCATGGTATGACAATCTGAAGTTCAGGAGAGGAAACCGGAGTAGCCAGAGAAAACCCACGTGATCGGGCAGCTGATCCCACACCTTTTCACGTCCGATCGGGGAATCGAACCCCGGCCGCCTTGGTGAAAGGCAAGTGCGCTATCCACGGCGCCACCCGACCACCACGGTATGATAATCTGAAGTTCAGGGTTCGAATTCAAGTTTAACCCCACTGAATATTACTCGTATGACGATGTTAACGTTATTGATCGTACTTTGTTATTTTAAGTCCCGCAAGGTATGTATTTCTTTTCAAAAATGTTTACAGTTACCAATACGTAGTTACAGTTTCTGTCAGTCGTACGGGGATCCTTAAAAGCATATACCGTTTTCAATGTTTTCACTTCTTTTCCCGGCCATGTTACCTGGTCAAATGGTTTTCAAGGAAGCGGATTCGAGCAAAGAATCCATGCTCGAGCACGAGAACAGGCCCAGACATTTCGATAGTCTGACAGAGTCATTTAATTGTAGTCAAAAATTCTCCTGGAGGTTCAATAATAAGACAGTTTTTGGATTGTTATAAAACACCCATTGAGTTTGAATAGCCAGGCAGAATTTTTATTATTACCATAACTCAATCCCGGAGTTACAATCCCGGAGTTTCAATGGTCACACAGCATGTATTTTCAATTGTCAAATGAAGCTTATAAGTTTTGAGAAAGGGCATGACAGAACTTACTATTGATCTACGTGGAGTGAGAGGGAGCTGGGAGAGTATGTCACCAAATGTCCCGTACCATAGAAATACGGCACGATATCCCAGCCCAACAACGCGTACAACGCGTATAGCTATACAAAGCATCAGTTTTCATCGCATCCTGCAGACGATCGATAAGCTGTCCCGGTGCTGGTATTGACTGAAATCTACAAGCTATAATTAAGGTCCAGTTATCGCCTTGTCCCACTATTGTACATTCAGAAAATATCACAGGTACAGAAAAGATCTATCAGGTAAGTGTTTGCTGGGTAAACATACATGCGATATTTGCTGCCTTCTGATCAATATATCGGCATAGGTTATAACTGGGACAATACGTCACACGACTCGAGCAACTCAGCATCCAATTGTTGCTATGGCGGCAATATAAACAAGAACAAAATGGCGGCCAAGTGGTTTGGACTATCGATACTGCTGGAGTCCATAATTGGTAAGTGTCGTGCCTTATTTCATTTGTATGAAGTCGTTAGGAGTCTAAATATTAGTTCAACGATAATTAAATGTTTTACGAATTCTGAGTATGTCCTGTCTTCACTCAATTTCTCATATTATTGTACATACAATAGTCCGTCCTACCCACGAATAGGCTTGTTTTATGCATAAGGCTTCATGACGTAAACAAATTGTCATTCTTAATCTGAAGCAAAACGGATTGAGCGTAAGTTATTGTAACATTACATGGACCCTCTCCAAAATTCATTTCATAAATCCACAGATAACAAAATTATTGTCATAATACAAAAAAGTTATGATGAGACTATATCACTGTGAATTACGTGTTCCAACCATATGAGATTATCATTATCTTTTAATGTCAATCGTTATTATATCACTATTTCAATCATTATTATGCTTCGTGTCAATCAGTTTTATCTCGTTGTTTCAATCAATGTTATCCCTTTGTGTCAATCAATATTATCCCGTTGTTTCAATCATAATTACCCTTTGTGTCAATCATAATTATCCCTTTGTGTCAATCATTATTATCTCTATGTGTCAATCATTATTAGACCTTCGTGTAAATCAATGTTTTTCATTTGTTTTAATCAAAATTTTACCTTCGTGTAAATCAATATTATCCCTTTGTGTAAATCAATATTATCCCTTTGTGTAAATCAATATTATCCCTTTGTGTCAATCATAATTATCCCTTTGTGTCAATCATGATAATTCCTTTGTGTCAATCATTATCATCCATTTGTGTCAATCATTATTATCCCTATATGTCAATAATTAGTATACCTTCGTGTAAATCAATATTATCCCTTTGTGTCAATCATAATTATTCCTTTGTGTCAATCATAATAATCCCTTTGTGTCAATCATTATCATCCCTTTGTGTCAATCAGTGTAATCCCTATATGTCAATCATTAGTATACCTTCGTGTAAATCAATATTATACCTTTGTGTCAATCATAATTATCCCTTTGTGTAAATCATACTTATTCCGTTGTTTCAATCATTATCATCCCTTTGTGTCAATCATTATCATCCATTTGTGTCAATCAATATTATCCCTTTGTGTCAATCATTATTATCCCTTTGTGTCAATCATTATCATCCCTTTGTGTAAATTAATAGTATCCCTTTGTGTCAATCATTATTATCCCTTTGTGCAATCATTATTATCCCTATATGTCAATTATTATTATCCCTTTGTGTCATTTAATATTATCCCTATATGTCAATCATTATTATCCCTTTGTGTCATTTAATATTATCCTTATATGTCAATCATTATTATCCCTTTGTGTCAATCATTATTATCCCTTTGTGTCAATCATTATCATCCCTTTGTGTAAATTAATATTATCCCTTTGTATCAATCATTATTATCCCTTTGTGTCATTTAATATTATCCTTATATGTCAATCATTATTATCCCTTTGTGTCCATCCTTATTATCCCTTTGAGTCAATCATTATCATCCCTTTGTGCAAATTAATATTATCCCTTTGTGTTAATCAATATTACCCCTTTGTGTAAATCAATGTTATCCCTTTGTGTCAATCTTTATTAGCCCTTTGAGTCAATCATTATCATCCCTTCGTGTAAATTAATATTATCCCTTTGTGTTAATCAATATTACCCCTTTGTGTCAATCAATGTTATCCCTTTGTGTCAATCTTTATTATCCCTTTGAGTCAATCATTATCATCCCTTTGTGTAAATTAATATTATCCCTTTGTATTAATCATTATCATCCCTTTGTGTCAATCATTATTATCTCATATGTCAATCATTATTATCCCTTTGTGTCATTTAATATTATCCCTATATGTCAATCATTATTATCCCTTTGTGTCAATCATTATCATCCCTTTGTGTAAATTAATATTATCCCTTTGTGTCAATCAATATTACCCCTTTGTGTCAATCAATGTTATCCCTTTGTGTCAATCAATATTACCCCTTTGTGTCAATCAATGTTATCCTTTTGTGTCAATCAATGTTATCCCTTTGTGTCAATCATATTTATCCTGTTGTTTCAATCATAACTATCCCCTTGTGTCAATCATAAAGATCCCTTTGTGTCAATCATTATCATCCCGTTGTTTCAATCTTTTTAACATTGGTATGCAAGGCAGTACCGTTCAAACATATTGCCCAGGTTGCACAACCGTGCATCATGGAATATGTTTTAACAGAATCCTTCAATATATATACACCAGGATAGCTATATATTGGAAATAACGCACTGTGTCATTAAACTAATTATTTTCAATGTCACTGAATCAAGTCCTTCAGCCGACGTGACGTCCCTTTTGTGTGAGTCATAATGCGTTGATGTCATCAGGCAGCATGACACAAATTTACACTCTAATGATTTGACGTTTATTTGTTTCCAGGAAGTGTAGCGAGTCGTTGTTACTATGGATACTTATCGTACTACACACGGTACTCAAGCTACTATTACCTCTCCTACTACTGCTCAAACGGTTGCTGTGGTTACTACTACGACGCAAAATGTTGCAACAGGTATGTATACAGCAAAAGTAATTACAAATTGGGAATTTGTGTGTATATATAGGATCTTACATGAGTTTCCATATCATATGAGATCTATGAAACGAGACTAAGAATTTTTCATTTTAGCGACCCTCTGCTGAGCTAAAATGAAAAATTCGTGACGAGTTTCATACATTTCATATGAAATGAAAACGAGTGTAAGATTTTTTTTATCACATAATCAAGATTTACGGCATTTATTCGTGTTAAACGATAATTTTCATGCAATGTAAAAAGCCGCCATTTTGACTCCAGTGCGTGACGTCACAAATGAAACAATTAAAACTTACAACCAATCACAGGGCTGATAGGTTATATTGCATAGGTTAATACGCAAAAAAATATGACATGGGTATATTCACTAGATAACACAGTAAATATGTGATAAAATATACAATTATTGTGAAATTAGATGATTCAAACTTCTGTGAAAACTTCCTAAAACCGAGTTGTGTGTGGTATCACCCTCGCCCCGAACACCAGAGTTATGCATATATTGCTGATGTTGGTATAATGTTGATTTCGGGCAGACAAAATAAAGTATCATTTGATAACATCTGTAATCTTTTTTGAAGGATTTTGATTTGGAACGTAAACGGAATCGCTCAGTTTTTAACCTGAAATCAATTTTTCGTATTGTTTTTTAAATATGCTCATATCTGATTGGTCGTATGATGCCAATATCAAAATGAATCCGCACTATTCTATCTTGTCAAACATGAATACCTAATAATTATCTTCAAATGTATTTGGGTTTTTTTCTTATGAATTCTTAAAGTATAAATAAACAAAAACTAAATCGGTGCTTATTTACAACATAATATGTGAACATTATTTTTTGATTTTTTTAAACTTGTCATTATCCCTATATCTTACATGTCTAAATCGGTAAATCTGAATGCAGTGGAGATACTTTAAATAACAGGGCTTAAGAATGTAAAGACACTCTCCAAGGGATATTCACACTGATATATTTCATTTTAACCAACTCACCGTGTCCTCCCGGAAAATATACGATTAAATCTGATTCAGGTCCTATCAATAAGGATTTCCTCTATAGCTTATCTAAATTTAAATGATTAACATTCGATTGCAAATAAAGGTTTCCTTTCTTAAACTGATGAATTTACGCGACATGTTCATTGGACCCCACGCCAGGCCAGTGACGTTCAAATTAATCCCTGGCCCGCACTTACGAAAACGCCCTGTGGTGGTTGGATGACAATGTGATATATTTTGTGTTGTTCTAGTGCCGGGACGATAGCCGGGTCTGTAGTGGGTGCATTCGTTTGTATAGCTGTCGTGGTGGGTGTGGTCGTATGTTGTTGGATGAGCAAAAAGCGGGCGAGGCGTGGGGTCGTCGTTCAACAGGGACAACAAGCAAACACTACCACAGTGGCCGTCGGTAAGTACCCATGCTCCAAGCAGACGAGAATGATAGATTGCTATCAATAAAACCAGAAGAAAGAAAATTATTAGAAACAGAAAAATATATAATTAGCAGAGCAATCATAGAAAGCGTGCATCAAAATTTGCATCCTCGATCTCTCTGCACCTCTGGAATATGTCATAGCAAATGATGAAACAAGAAGACTAGTCTGATCCTATGATTTACATTAAAAGAATCTCGCGGTCGCGTAACGGTAAAAAACGACTGACTTTGAAGTCGTTTGGCGCCCTTTGTAATCTTCAAAGGACAGGTATCAGCCTAGCGATTGGTCAGGTTTTGTTACCTGAGACCAATCAAACAGCTGGCATAGTGCCTTCAATTTTGCTATGACATATTCAAGGGGAGCAGAAAGCGTTACAGTGTAGTGAGCGTAACCCCTGGAGTATCGAGGATGCAAAAGTTGTCTGCAAAACGTTCCTTTCTCTTTACATAGATATACACACTTTATTCATTTACGGTACTCCTATTTCTCTGAATACCGTGCTATTGTAATTACAGCTTTGACAATTTCCGAGTCGTTAGTCAGCCTATTGTATATCCTGATAACCAGGTCCTGTGTTATTTCCGGAAAGGTTTTATATTGTTTTACATTATTTCCGGATTGATCATTCCTATTTTATATCCGTATGAGCTAGCGTTATGCTTTTCAGGTCCTATGTTGTTTCATCCTAGATACTATAGGGGTACGTTTACTTTTGCTCTCTGACCCCTTGGGATATGTCATATCACAGGCACGCTGCTAGCTATTTGATTGGTCTCAGGTGAAAAAAAGAAACTGACCAATCGCGAGGCTGATACATGTACCTGTCCTATGAAGATTACAGAGGAGCGACATCCGACTTCAAAGCCAGTCAATTTTACCGTTACGCGACCGAGATATTCTTTTCGTGTACATCAAAGGACCAAACTAGTCTTCTCGTTTCAGCAAACATTGAGCCTTCGATTTTGCTATGATATATCCCAGGGGTGCAGAAAGCGAAAGTGAGCGTAACCCCTGGACTATCGAGGATGATTTTGTTTCCGATTTTAATAATCTTATATTGTTTCCAGATTTATAACTCCTGTCCTATTTCCGGATTTATTTGTTTTATTTCATTCCATCAACTACTTCGATATTACATCCTTAGAACAATTGATTTTTTCGTGATGTTAAAAATGTTTTCTGTACACGTGTACAAATATATCACAGCAAAATTCTTACACACAAGTGTCCTAAAAGTAATCTAGAATTGTTCTGAACTAGTAAATGAACTCAAATATGGATGCCGGATTTCTGCTGTGAGACAACCCTTTATCTTATTCCACGCGCATTATTTTTGTTATATATTGAAGAACATCAGCGGCTATGAATTTGACAAGGTGTCTGGTATTGTTTCTTGCAGTTCATTCTCAGCAGCAGCAGCAGCAGCAGCAGCAGCAGCAATACCCGCCCCAGCCGTACGGACAGCAGATGTACTACCAGCCACAGATGCAACCCCAGCCACAGTATTTCAACCCTGCCTACCCCCCTCCCCCTCCCATGCCACCCGTAGGAGCAGTCAACAGCTACCCGCCCCCTCCCGCCTACTCAGGTCCCGAAGGACTCCCTCCGGCGGGAACTGCTCCCATGAAGCCAGCTTACATGCCCACCCGCTAGAAATGGACACTGCTGAGAAACACAAGAAACAGTCCAGAAGTCGAGGAACATGAGTAATATATAGACATACTTTTTGAAATGTGTTATTTATAACATTCAAAGTTTTATATATTTGTAAAATGGAAATGCTGAATTAATAATGGTTTTGTGCGTTTTAGTTATTGTGATAAGTGATTCTTTTGAATTATATTTATGATTATCATTTTCAATTTTGTAATAGTCATTCATTTTTACTATTTCAAAGTACATTGATTTTCTAAAAAAAAACAGAAAAGAAAAACAGAATACAAATAATGGATATTTATGATGAGTTCAAGTATCTTCATCATTGTTTAGGAAATCGAATTTAAGTTCAGGTAAAATTTCATTCCATAACCAATCGCTATCAAATTTATATCCAGGCCCGGAATCATCAAACAATCTTAGACTTAAGTTTTTGCTTAGCCAATCACGTATGACGTCACTTTTCATGACGTAATTTAAGATAGGTTAAGTCAAAACTTACGACAACTCGAGACTTAAAGATCGTGTCATGATCCTGAGGCCAGGTATCGTGTTGGAGGTTCCCTTGATAGGTGTTTAAATAACATAAATTGGAAAGTTGTTGAAGTGACCTCTAAACAGAAAAGGTCTCTTGAGCAGCTTTGACTGTAGTTTTTGCTAATTGTTTTGCAGCAAATTACATATGTAATATAATTGTAAGGCACTTATATTTAACATATACATTGTAATTGGTGTATTTTTGTAACGAGAAAAACATGTTACGATTTTCTTTATAAATGTTTATTTTCTTTTCATTGTTTATATATTTTTTTACTTATTCCTGTTTTTTCTATCAGAAAAGGTTTTGTTATCTTGTTTTCATAAACGCGTTTTTTTACGATATATATGTTTGATACCATATCATGGTTAATTGTTATAATCAAACACCAACCTATCTTGTGTTTAACCTACATACAAATCAAACAGTTTGACAATAATCATAATCCGAGGTTCTTATATACCGCTAAATCACGACCTAGTTCATAGGTCTTCTCAAAGCGGTTCACAAATTGTACAAATGTTGGGCAGATTGGTAGAATATAGGTTCGATCTGTTCAAAATAAATAAATAGCAATATAAATTACGTAAACACATTGGATGATATTCTGAAAAAACAAACTGGATTAAATATATTCAACATATGAGTGAACAGTGAAGACATCAACACCAAAGTAAAGTTGTTAATGACACACACACACAATAATAAACAAAATACAAAATCCGGAGTCGAACACGGGGTGCTTTGAAAAAATAAATAAAAATTACTTCCATTTTACCTAACCGACAACGGCCTTTTTCTATCCTAGAAGATATGTTTGGAATAAAGATATATTTTAATTTCTTCACAATCTAGTCATAATAGAAATACGTTCAATGTTTAATTGTCTACAGAGTGCCGAAATATTCGTTAAAAACAAGCCCTGTTTGTTTCCGTGACCTACAATCGATATATTTCCTTCGATGTATGATTGTTACGACCTCCATGTCAATGTTCCAGTGATAGATTTAACTATTGTAAATATTCTTACATTTCTGAAATATGAGTCTTTTTTTATTCGTGATAATAATAAAATCATTTCACTGTGTAAAGAAGATGAATACATTGTTTTTAATTTAGCGAGAGAGAAAAAATGCCAATAATGAGTTACTTCCCTTCCCATACCCTGGATACGTATATGGTTAAGAGCACGGCTTTGTTTTACATTTCATTTAGCATTAGTGTAATACTCATATGCAAATATATATATCAGAGACCGTACAAGATACTTCAGCAAAACATTCTCTTAAAATATGAATAATTGACACAAAAATAGAAATTTATATCTCAACGGAGTATCTACCTTAATTGTAGGCAAAACTGGAGTTCACAAGGGACAAGAACAGGGGACATGTGTCCAGAAGTATATTGGGACGGTATTTATGAAACCGTTATCAAAATATAAATATTTGACACAAAAATAGAAATGTAAATCTCAACGGAATATTTACCTAAAGTGTAGGCAAACATAGAGTTCACAGAGACAGTAGCCAGGGAATAGTGTCCAAAATTATTTAACTGTGTTTCAGTCATATTACACTATTTGTACATTTCAACAACAGCTTGTGACTTATTCATCCTTTTAAAATTAGTCGCTTTTCCATATTGTAAAATATTTGTAAATGGAACATTCTTCTCATTCAATTAAGAATTTAAATAACATTTTTTAACTTGAAAAATATGGCTAACCTTCTTTCGAGAAACATCAATGCAATAATTGTACGCTTTTCCTATCTCTCCTTTCTCATCCCTTACCAGAAGTTGCCTTTTTGAGCTAAGCAGCAATAATACATATTCTGTATTGTTAATTGTAAATAATAGTTAGCCCTTTGCCTATCACAAAGCCATATGAAATATCTCTTCGATTTTTAAGGAATATTATCATAGAATATACTGTCTCTTTATGTTAATATTCTTGGGATATTTTGCTTCAGAATATATTATTTAAATCCAGTGACCGATTCATTCCGTAAATTGACCTTTAATAAGACAAGAAATCCATTTAGAAAGTATTTTTAGCGAAACTACTGGGACGCTATTTATAAAACCGTTCTCATGCTCGAACTCGGATTCTGTGTTGAGACCAACTTCTTGTTCAGAGGATAAAAAATTAAAGATACATCACGCTTTGTCAATGACTTGGAAGCATGTTAGAGAGATTTAAACCCAGATTTATTTTCAGTATTTACATTTGCCTTTCTTGGTGTGTCGCATAATTTAAGTGAGTTACAAGAAAGTTGGTTTCAACTCAGAATCCATGCATGATCATAAAAGTGTTTTCATGAATACCGGCCCTGGTCCGAGTCTTATGAAACCTCCTTGGCGTACGATTTTCTATCCATTACTAAGGTGAAGGAGAACTTTTTTTACGTAAGGGGACATTTACGTGGCTAGAGTCTGTTAGCACAGGAATAGATAAGCCAACGAATATGACTTATGTTTATTTATGTTATGGTGCCTGCTTTATGTTTTATGCATTTGATAATACGTTCAAAACCATTAATATCTTCCTTCCGTGTATGTATGAATTTCTATCGCTGACTACTGTAACAATGCCTTAAGCTCTCAAGTGGCCTATCCGTTGTAATTATGCAAAATTATATCACAACAATTTCTCATTCACAGTTTATCTTGTTCCAATATTTTTGCACAGTATACATAAATAACACGGCTAGAGAAACAAAGTGAGCTTTAAAAGCTCTTAATTTTCTTAAATACAAACTTTATTTATTTTACAACAAGTATGAAACAAGTTATTTCAACTTTTATTAATCACTCTTGTTAGCCTGGGTGTTAGCGCGCGGGGGTCTTAATGTGGGAGGAAACCGGAGCACCCGGAGAAAACCTACATGGTCGGGCAGGTGTCCCCATATCTTTTCCCGTTCGATCAGGGAATCGAACCCCGGCCGCCTTGGTGAAAAGCAAGTGCGCTATACACTGCCTATCCGGCCACCATACGTTCTTGTTTGTGTGCTTGCGATTCAATTCACTTAGTCTTAAATGCAATCACGTAGAAGGGTTTTTTCTGTGGAGACTAGTTTCTTCGAGGTTTTTTTCTAAAGCCTCGGATTGAGTATCGATCTTCTGAATGACGACCACGGTCCAGTTGTCCAAAATCTCATTCATCTTAATCACTGTATAATGACATTTTTCAACCTCTTATAAGTTGGTCAATGTACAAGTTAAAACCTCGCAATTTTGCAAGTAGTTTTACTCTTCTAAAATATTTGCTGTCTATAAAGTTTTAACTCTGTTAATAGTTTTATTTTAAAGACACAAAAGAATTAAAATCACTTATTAAGCTAATTACCTATTGAACAATTGGACCAAGATACATTATTCAATATATTGTTAATACCATTGTTATAATTGTTGATTGAATATTACGCAAATTAAATAGTTATTTGTAGTAAAGTATGTTACTTATTTAAACTTTGATTCGTATTCTTGTTTGTTTGCAATAACTAAAGTGTGTTTAGTCAGAGAATGGTGTGACTCGAGGACTACTTTGCACTACCATCTTACTTAGTTGAAATAACCTGGTCCAGGGAACATAAAACAGTCCTTATAATTCATACGTACAATACACATATCTATATTGGACATTGGATCATATTTTGTAAAATAACTATTTTGCATTTATATGTTAATCGTATTTAAGTTTACCACTCTAATATTAGCCAACAAACTTTTTTACGTAAGCCTAGAATTTCCTCACGATGCCAGGTTATTGAAGCTTGGTCCCTCATTTGGTTAACATAAAACTTTAAAAAAATAAAATAAAAAAAATGGACAAATATTTTTAATATTAAGTCTGAAGTTCATAACATGCACATTGACACACACTTAAAATATAGGAAGAAAAAACAAATGTGAGCGATAAAGGAAATTGCAAAAGGTGTAGTTGTTTTAACAATGAAGACATTTCCAACAATCAAATAAAGGGAGGGAAATTATAACCTGGTAAAAACGTTTCCATTTATAGGAGTTATTTCCCTTTACATGAATATTACTGTACAAATTAGCAAAGGCCACAAACATTTTCACCATACGAGACTAAACAAAAGACAAAATATTAGGGGATCACCTTATGACTTTGGCTGTGGATTGGTTTCTTTGATACAAGGCATGCTTGTGATTAGATGGTAGATACCTCGTGACCTGTGTTTTCGAGAGATACATTAAACCATGTTGACAACTATGATATTTAGATCTTTGAACTATGATATATCAGTTCGCGGGAAGAGTTTTACACAAGGCATTCAATCCCTGGAAAAAAATCTTCCTTAATTTCGGTAAAGCAATCAGTTTTTCAGACATCACAAAAAATGGAATTAAAGAAATATTTTACTAACGAGCCAAACATTTAAACATTCGTTTACAAACAATCTTGAATGGGGTTTTTTTGCGGTGTGAGCCGTATTAAGATATCAAAAGTAAGTTGTTCAGTCCTATGAAACATATTCAGGTTAAACATGAATATATTTGACTTTAAAGGAGTTGGTATATGACTATTCAAATTATTCAAATCAACCGAAAGGGATATAAGAAATTTCAATTTCCGGGCAGCGAACGAATAAAATAAAAATGTGTCAATGCATGTTTCCACACAAACCTAACATTCAAAAATAAGGTAACAGGCCTATATGATCACCATTTCACACTAGATTATCATCGGTAGCGAAGCTGTGATGAGATTATTTACGTCATTAATCAAGATTAAGAAATTTGACCTATTCTGACCTATGATAGGTTAAATCTGGTAGTCTAAAGATCCTTGAAAAATCTGCCCCATAAAAACCAATTCAGAAGTAGTTGACACCTACTTGCCTAATGTGAAAAATTCCAATGAAATATCGATTAAGATGTCCGCTCTTTGATAGACCGTACATAATTACCGGGCGGGTACACTACGGTGTTGTATGGATACAAAAGCGTATTGTTACAAGGCCATCAATTTACTTATCATCCTTAACGCGATTTAAACTTTTCAAATGAGATTGAAATTAATCTTTCACTTTGTGACATAAGGTATGATTTGAAAGGATGACTACGTAGTCGTATCTTCAATATTGTCAGGCTGAAAGCATGATAAAAACCGCCAAATGTTTGTATACACAATAACATGAACAGGGGTACAAGGATTCCTTCATGTAATAGCAATAAGACCAATATTACACTACTCATTTTCACCTACCTTAACAAATCTGTCTCCAATCAAAGACGTACGTTATTTCTCTATCAGCCCCTAGGATGTGGATGACGACATGCTCTTGTAAGAAAACTATAGTAACAAACGCGTGATGTCATATTTTACAATAGACTGGCTACCATCCCCTAAGTTTTTATGAAATAATTCTCATCTGCATTTTACTACTAGCTTATTTCCCCCTAGTTTAAAACTTAGAATCAGACATTCAAGTGATCAAAATTATTAGAGTTATATTTTTTTTCTTTATTATTTAATATTCTAGAGACGGTGGCCAGTCTAATTTTACAATTAAAGCTGTGTATTTAGCTTGCAAAGAGAAGTTTTTGAGAGGTGAGAAAAAATAATCATCCGTCATTTTTGGGAGTGACACAGAAAATCTCTGCCCTACGAATAAGACTGTTAAATGTTTAGCACTTCGCAGAGCCTTTTGGTGGCCCAAATTTCACAACCATTTCTTACCTTAACAAAAGTAATTAACTTAATTATTTCCAAAAATAAAACCACATTCCTGATGTTAAGAACATTGTTCCTTAAGAATTCTTCCTTCTTTTTAGTAAATCTTTCCTATGGAACTTTCTTTCCGTTTTATATAACTGTACAGTCCAGCTATTTAAGAATCTAACTTCTCGAGTTGGGGAATTTTTTGTCTTAATTCCAAAATGGGAGTGAAATTTGCTTATGGCTTGTATCCATTCGAATGAGGTTATTATAAAGTATTACGGGTTTTGTTGATTGGATATTGTTTAGTTTAAACTCATGTTAAAAGATGCATTCGATCATCAAAAGTTAATTTTTGATTTATAAATTTACTTATTTTTGCAACACAAAATCACGTCCACTGGTCGCCTAGGTACGAATAAAAAATACATGATATAATTATCTAATGTTTATCTTTATAATACAGACAGCTTCAGAACTCTTGACCCGTTTTAAAGAAACTGTGTAATTTACATCTGTTTTCATTAAACAATATTCACTCGCAAAGTCAATTCCCTATTGAAATGATATATTATTTTGATATTAGATATCGTTTCTTTGTTGTTTTCTTTTTTTATCTTGGCGCAAGAATTCAGCGAATGAAAAGAATGTTTAGTGGATAACATGTGTTACAGTATGAAAATGGTTTCATTAAAACAGAGCCTAGTGTCTTTAAATAATTGAAGAAATACCTTTAGTAACATACAACGAAAGAAAACCCGCCAGTCGTGGATAACCTCTAAGGGTAACTTCTAAATCTGTTTTGCGGACGTTTTATCCCGTCTTGGTATGAATATATCAGGTAAGAAGCAACGCAAGCTGATATTATTCTTCAACTGATAAAAAAAAAAAACTTTTTTAGTACTGCATTTTTATTTTTTATTTCTTTTAGAATGTCTCCTTTTTTACATGTTGCACTGCCATTTCTTTGTTAAACATTAAAACGTTACAATTTTTAAAGACTTTCGATAAATCTTGTTCTCTCCCATAATTTGAACGTTGAAAAGAAGTTTCGCTTAATGGTTGTATGTTTCAGATAATGATGATTAATAAATAAGTAATGAAACAACTCTATAGTTAGAAATTGTAACATTTAAAATTCGGGAAACTGTAGCTCATCAGAATTTTCTTTTTGTAATTTCAATTTGGTAAATTTATTTTTCAAATAAGTATAAAAACGATCACTTTTGATACTAAGCGAGTTACGCGTCATTTTACCTGAGGTAAGATGACACGGTCTCCCTTTCTTGTGGTCGATTTACCACCTGATTTAACATTGTATAAATACTCAGTACAAAAAGGCAACTCGACAGGTTAATACAAAATATATTAATAATTTTCCTCTATGCATTTATGTGTGTCTCTGTTTCTTGTGACCGTCTTATCGCCTGATGTGACCGTATTTACATACTTAGTACACACAGGCACCGCGACAAGTTAATGCAATATATTTGTCTTTACATTTAAGTTTCTCTCTATCTTGTGACCGACTTTCCGCCTGATTAAACTTAATATACATACTTAGTACACAAAGGTAGCACGACAGATTGATACAAAACACATTTATTGTTTTCTTCTTTATATTTTCGTGTCTAACCCATGTATAACAGAGGAATAAAACGGTATGAAGCGTTAGTTTAAAATTGATATAAATAATAACTCTGTGTCGAGTGTTCTCGTGTAGTAAAACTAACACAATATCCAACGTTAGGAGGGAGGCTACGATTGAAAGGAAGTAATAAAAATGTTACTGGTTTCTACGTTTTGCTTAACACTTCTCCTTCGACGAACTTTATTTTTTCTGCGGGAAATAGATCTGGTTATAAAGACGTATCCTAATCCTCAATATTTCACAATAACATTGACATTAAATCTTGATAAGATTATTGATTCAAAACGAACGTCACACTTCCATGACACCCTGAGAAAACTTGTACAATTTTATTTTCAATGATTAAACTAAACTTAATTTCATATGAAAAAAAGAAGGATTAAAAAACAAATCTTTTCATTTTGGCAGATGAAGCGTTCTGCTGCTGTCGATACGATAGACTCATCAAGTCCTAATGATGAAACGATTGCTTTGTATTCAGC